TTTCAAGGGGCTCCAGCGCATGCCCGCCCCCACCGCCCCCACCGCCCCCACCGCCCCCACCGCCCACACCGCCCACACCGCCCACACCGCCCACCGACCACCCTTCCCCGCCACGTTTGAGGGCCTTCCCCTGCCACGTTTCAGGGCCCCAGCGAGCCCATTCCGCCCCCACCTCCCCCTGCCACGTTTCAGGGCCACTGGCTACCTTCTTTGAGATGTTTTAAGGGGCTCCAGCGCATGCCCGCCCCCACCGCCCCCACCGCCCACACCGCCCACCGACCACCCTTCCCCGCCACGTTTGAGGGCTTTTTCTGCTACGTTTCAGGGCCCCAGCGAGCCCATTCCGCCCCCACCTCCCCCTGCCACGTCCACACCGCCCACCGCCCACCGCCCCCCCTTCCCCGCCACGTTTGAGGGCCTTCCCCTGCCACGTTTCAGGGCCCCAGCGAGCCCATTTGGGAACGGGGATCTCCTCGGATATTGTCAATGCTTGCACAAGCACGAACCCCACGAAACTCAGCACGATAACAATTTACGACAAGGATCCTCGCGTTCCTGCACCGCCACCGCCTCCGTCGCAGCCGGCAACGTCGGGACGGGTGGCGACTCATCCGCCTTCACAATTACAGTAGTTCAACTGGTCTTGAGTGATATCCGAGATGTGCCACATCAGACGCAGGTCCAAGATTCAGCCTCCATGGGCGGAGACACCTCCGCTGACGCCACCTCCGTCGGAACCCAGGTCTCCGACTCCACCGGCGATTGCGGGCGATGGCGTTGCGGCGTTGCGGCAAGGGCGCCTTGCAAACACAGAGACTTCTGTCAGATGCACTTGAATTTCAAACCCCTCCAACAATACTCAGGCGAATACTCAGGCGGCGTCCTCTTGCAGTCCAGATTCTTGGATCGGCACTGGCACCGTTTCCGCCGGTTCAGGTACCACAGCGATGGGCGTTGGGGAAGCTAGTCCTGCTGTGATCGGGGCCTGAAATATCAAACTTGAGAGCGAGTCAGCTGTACTGATGTATGCTGGCTTCCGGACGCTCTGAATCTGCCGTCAGGTCTCGATGGAAGGCGGCTCCGTGGCCGGCGTAGACACTGAGCTGGGGGTCTCAGCGCTCAAAACTAAGAAGGGGTCGAATCAGAGTGCGGTGAATCTGTCACTGTTGTGGAACGAACGCCGACAGAGTGCCTCATCCCTCTCCATAGGAGCCTCCATCTTGCCCGGCTGCTCCGGGGTGTCGTAACCAGCCTGAATCAGCAAAAGTCGCAATGGCTTACATAGACTGCAGCAGACGTGTTGGTCATAGGAATGGGAATCCATGCCAAGATACCCCAAGCACCGGCGACTGGCACGGCTCCACGGCGCACCGAACGAAAAACGCTCACTCTTATTCGAGCTGCAGTGCGGGGTTTTTTAGGGCTGAGGGTTTCAGGATTCAGGTGTCTCGTTTGCGAGGTCAAGCAAGTTCAAAGTCTAGGGCGGGTAAACGTTGGGGTCACCCTCGTAGTTCCACCTACGAGCTTTGAAACATCAACAGCTAGAATATACATTCTTGGAGTTGGAATTACAGCGGCTGCTGACACCAGGCTTGCCCTCCAATACACAACCTGCGTGTCCTGCTGCTTTGAGCGGCTGCGATGTCGGCACACAGTCACCATGTCGAACAAATCGGGCATGTGGGCGCATGAAAGACCAGCCAGACAATCGTGAACCCAAAACTCCTCGATAGATGCGCGACGCTGCGTGCGCTGGATGTCGCCTGGTGGCAGGATGAGAGGCGAGCAACACCTATACACTCACCCCCCTCCGCCCACTAGGACATCGTTCGTCTGAATACTCCACCCTTGGGGTTTAGGCTGTACCGTGCAGCCCGAAACTGAGCCCCAAGACGCCTAAACACTCAACCCTAAACCCTAAACCCTAAGCACTCAGACTTTAACCCCAAACCCTAAACCCTAAACCCTAAGCCCTAAACCCTTAAAGGATCTTAAAGGTTTAGAGGAGTTAGTTATATGGAGTAGGGGTGGGCCGTACGCCGAGCGCGCGGAGTCTCCGAGCTCGACTCCCCCTTAGAAGGATGGGCGGGCTTGTCGGTATGTTGCTAGGGTTTGCAAACTGAGTTGACGGAGTTTGTAGTGTGTCTAAAACAGCAGAAGCGCGGGGGAGCACACTTCTGGGACATTTCCGGTCTGAGAGACTCCACAACTGTACTCTGCCCCGTTTTGGCGGGGCGGGGGAGGGGGGGAAGTGCAATTTTTCAAGCCTGAAATGCACTGAAACTGTTCTCGCCTGGCTCTCGGGAGAACGAGGGAGGGCACAAGCGCGGGCGAGTACAATTCTGCGACTTTTCGGGCCTGACAAGCTGTTAAGCTGTGCTCCCCCGCGTGTTGGGAGGGGAGGGCGCGGCACAAGTGCGGGGGAAAGTTTAGGGTTTTAGGGTTTCGGGTTTGGAGTTTAGGGTACAGAGTCTAGGGTTTATGGTTTAGGGTTCAGAGTTTAGAATTTAGAGTTTAGGGTCTAGGGTTCAGGGTTTAGGCTTTAGGCTTTAGGGTTTAAGGTTTAGGGTTTAAGGTTTAGGGTTTAGAGTGGGGTTTAGGGTTTAGGCCTTAGGGTTTAGAGTGGGTTTGGAGTTTAGGGTTATGGGTGCAACTTCAAGTACCCTGTCGCCGGAAGCTCCCTGCCTAGCTCCCTGCCTCCAGGCTGCGTGCGTGTCGTGGCATGCCAAACAATAAGCAAAGACAAACTTTGCCGGCCTGGGGGCCAGACAGAGGTCCGGAGACCCCGCCGACCACAAGTCCCGCAAAGCACAAGCAAAGTCTGCCAGCCTCGAAGCCAGGCAGAAGTCCGAAGAAGACTTCGCCGACCCCAAGTCCGGCAAAACACAAAGGCTTGCCAGCCTCGGGGCCAGGCAGAAGTGCGAAGACTTCGCCGACCCCAAGTCCGGCAAAACCCAATGACTTGCCAGCCTCAGGGCCAGGCAGAAGTCCGAGGACTTCGCCGACCCCAAGTCCTGCAAAACTCTCATAGGGCTTGCCAGCCTCGGGGCCAGGCAGAAGTCCGAGGACTTCGCCGACCCCAAGTCCGGCAAACACAGACGTCATGCGAAACAAAAGCATCACCCAGGGCAACTAGGTTTCGGGCCAGGCCGAAGCCGACCCGGACTCCCCACTGCCAGTCCCCACAGCGAGTCACCCTCGGACCGGCGCGCGATGGCTGCCCATGGCCTTAAACCCCAATCCCTAAAACCTGGGTTGTGATCAGGGTTTGGAGTTTGGGTGCTAGGGTTTAAACGTTGGGGCATCTTGGGTGTTCGATACACCCATAAACACCTCAACCCTAAACCCCTGACCCCCCGGAGCCTTAATTAACCCCTCCGTACCCCAAACTTCCAACCCCGGGCCGGCCTCGAGCAGCTGCTCCGGCACCGCGGCTTGACCAAAGGGCTGACGTAAACTTGTCGGCAGGTGCTGCCGACAAGGACTCTTACATCCAAATCTGGGCGACTGAGCAATTACTCACATTAGCTGGTCGTAGTTGCACATATCCTCGAACTGCAGGCTGTTGCACAAGATTGTTGCCAGTCTGCAAAGAGACCAGGCCGGCAAATGCTGCGCAGAATGATGATCCCAATGGCAGAATCTGGGAAACCTGAGGCGGACGGCATTTGCCATGTCGTGTTTACCCAAGGAGCATTGCGTGGCCTCGTCCTCAATGCTGGCCTTTCTAGAAATAAGCCTTTCCATACAAAAAAAATGCACGATCGCTATCGACCTGTGCAAGAAAGCCCGAGCCAAGGCCCACGGGCATCCGAATAAGTGGCAACCTTTGCCTTCTTATCAAGAAGGGTTAGACAATGCTGTGCATGCACGATCGAGTCGACCAGTGCTAGAAGCCCGAGCTGGAACCCAGGGCTTGCCTAGTGTAGTCGCAGATTTGCGATATGGGGTCCTGATTTCAGCTCCACATGCGCAGTGACCTGTGGGACGCGATGAGGCGACCTGGCGACATCCTGCACGTCCTTCTTTCCAGGGGTCGGCGGCACTGGCGGCAGCCATTAAATCGGGCAGCGCGAGGTCCCCAAAGGACCGAGCAAATGCGGACCTTTTAGCCCGGGTCGTCCCGGGAATAGCCTTGCTGGCCTCTGGCCTTCTGCGAAGCAGAATTAGGCCGGACGCCAGTGCCGCCGACCCCCGCGTGCCGCCGGTGAACGGTTTTTTTTTCGTGGTTTTTTGCGTCGCCACGGAAGCCCCCAGAGGGCGCGCATCATGAGCATCAGCGGGTCCAGCCCGGGACCCCCAGGCGCGCATCAGGAGCATCAGCGGCTCCCGGGGCGGGACCCCGGGGGCGCATCAGGAGCATGATGCCCCCCAAAGGGCGGGCATACCTTAAACCCTAAACCCTAAACCCTAAACCCTTGACGGATCTGCTCGCCCCGCGCTTCTGACTGCGCTGCCCGCCCATGGGCGCAGCCCCTTAAAATAGTACTTTGTCAGATTCATGTGGTCTTCTCGACGGTGTTGTACTTGCGCATTCACTCAGGCTGAGATAGGTTGAGGCTGCTACACAGGACGACATCGCAGTGTTGAAGCTGACCACATCAGCCACGAGATCTGTCGGCAAGGCTGGTCTGTTGAGTCTCTTGTGCGGTTTCTGCGTGCCTCCTTGCCCTTCATCAAGTAAGCGCGAAAGCCTGACCAGCAAGCAGAAGCAAAAGCCAGATTTCCACCAGCAGAAGCACTGAGTCAACACAGTGCAATCTAGAAGGCAGTAAAGAAGCAGCAATAACAAGCAGCTCGTTCGGAATCATGCCGCAAGCATGGTGCAAGCTTCAGCACCGGGCAGCTGCAGCGCCGCGTTCCAGCAACCACTCCTTCACAATGGCAGGTGCACTGCAAATCATTGTGAAGGTGCTTGCTTCCCAACAAAATGCACAAAACTCACACAAGCATCCGCTTAAGGATCTGCTCATGGAATAGTATCTCGCAGCCAGTGACTCTGGTGCCTGGCACAAGCCTTCAGGACGCTGTTGAAGCTGACGATGTTCGGAACAACACGCCACCTGCGTTGCACATTTCACCGGCTGAGCCGGTCAGTGGCAACTCTTGGGGAATTCCCCCTGCTGAATGCGCTGAATGCTGGTACGCTGCTGGTGCCTGGCACAATCCTCCAGCAGCGACGACGCCTCCTTCCAGCGCGCCGAGGACCCCAAAGCGTCTCAGAGATGAATTCAACTGAGACCTACTAGAACTACTATGACCCAGACTCATCTACCACGACAACTTGAACCTACACCTCTTTTGAAGAGATCGTTCTCTGAGGGCATGGCTCAAGGCGCTGTTGAACGTCACTGTGTCCGGAGTGGGCAGCCCACGCAACCTTGCATAGCCGTTCTGAAGTCCGACTTGTTTCATCATCTCCCGTGCACAGCGAATCGACAGAGCATGACAGCATCACACCGCTTCGCATTCGCAGCGTGCCTTTCCTCGGCCATGCTCTGAAACACTGCCAGGGCAGCCTCGCAAGAAGGAGCAATGCAAAATTGAGAATCCTTACCTCGAGTCGAAAGCCTCGATGAATCAACGACTCGTTCAAGGCAAGTTTCCGGGCTCATTCAGGTTTGTCTTCAGCCCGCTTCCCTTTGTCAATCCCTTCTCCATTCCTTTGACCTGTAGTCTCTGTATGTCACCCAACAAACTGCAGCGTGATCCCACAACCAACTCCAAGAAGAACAACAGAGTCAGAGCAGCTCGTCGTTCCACAGATGCAAAGGCAATCAATTAACTTTTCACACCTGAAACAACAGCTGGCATGCGTCCTGCCAGGCTTTGCCACGCGCACATGCCATGACCTCACCCGCGCACTCACAGCACGTGCATCGCTGACTCATCGGAGACTTTTACCACCTACAGTACATCACTGAGGTTCGTGAGGCGTGCCAAAATGTGGCTTTAAAGCTGAGGTAAGTGCTGCGGCATTGCATAGCACGACATCCAGCAGTTCCTGGTTCCTGGCCTGAGACGTGGAAGACAGCACTCTCTGAAAGAAAAGCATCGGCTATGAGCTTGCCCACTTCCTCCATGTTGCGAAAGACGATTGCGGGCACAAGATTCATGGAAAAGTTGAATGATTCTGAGTATTCATGAAGAGCTGCAACAGCGAGGACCACAAGGAGGTCGAAGGACCAGCCTGGGGCCCCTCATCCAGCACTGCTTGTTTCACCCAGGTCTCCATTGGGGTGTTCCCCGACACCTCCCTCCCCCCCCCCCCCGCCCCCGCCCACCCAGCAAGAGGAAGCGACGGCTGAAAACCGCACAAGACAGCCAACTTCTCAGATCCACAGCTCTTTTTCCACAATCCCTCATTGGCCCCACACGCTGGACATGATGCACATTGCAGTATCCCTTGGTGCGATGGGGCAGTGCCCAGGACTTCAGGCGCCACCCCGGCAGGACCTAGGACCTGCCATAGGACCTGCCGCAGGCCGCCTTCAGAACCGTGGGGAGACGGCGTCGGAGACGGCTGAGACGCCTTTCGACTCGCATTCCAGGATGCCCCTTCGCGTATGGTTCGGCCTTACTGTGTCTGGTTTAGGTTTGCGGGTCGCTCTCTCTTGCAGAGCTTATGGTCTGGAGCCCATGGCCAGTGAGTGTTCTTTCAAGACTTTGACCAGAGTTTGCGAACGCTCTCCGTCGCCACGACTGCGATTCAGCATGCCGAGAGCCTGCTCGAGAGACTGGTGGGTCCAGTACCAGGCTGGACAACGCACACCCTCGCTGGGACGGGACTTGCTCCGCCCGATGCCAGTTCTCGCGGCGTGACTGCCCCATCTCGTGGCTTCATCCAACTCCGAGGCCTTCCATGAGCCTCGGGCCAAGCCGAGCCTCACTTTCTCCACCCACTCAGTTGCCCCCCTGGCTCGCTTTCTGCGGCCTCTTTCCAGCATCCGCCTCTATGATTAGCTTCCGTAGAGTTTTGGCAGCCTGTGGCCAAAAAGAATTCATGCAAAAGACTCTCTATCTATGAGTTGCAACTCATAGATAAACAATCTGAAGAGACGTTCAAGCTGTGTTTTCCTGTCTTCAGCGTCTTCAATCGCCAGCTGCATGGCGAGCTCCTCGTTCGGACGACCTCGCGGCTGGTCGATATCTCAAGGGCCGCAGGCCATTTTGGATCCTCTGCCATGGCTGCCATGGCTCTGATGCACCTTCCGAGGTCCTACGAACAAAAGAAGCTGTGGGAGAGAAGCCAGGGGAGGGACAGATCTGGCGTGACACAGCGGTGTGGAAGGTGGGGATCTCTAAGGTCCCAGACTTCTGCAACTTTGTGAAGAGCGTCCGCCCACAGGCTGCGCCGGCCGAGCTCTGTGACCTCTGTCTTTGAGTGCTGCTGGTCAGTGCAAGGTCTTGCAGCCCAGGCCTGCACCGTGAGCTGTTTGGGCAGCGGGGCTCCCCTCCGCAACTGGCCCTGACCACCATCAACTCAACAGCTTGAGCTTGCACCATCTGACAGCAGATGCACAGTGCTGATTGGCACTTTTGGCTGTCGCGTCACACAGCCATCAGCTTCTGTGCATGCCTTCCTGTTTGGTGGCAGTTGCGAGCACTTCCACATGCACATGGTTCCACGCCCTTTGCAGCCCAGATGCCTTAGAGCTTCAACACACGAGAGTACTTCATGATTAACGGAGATGAGAACGGCTTGCAACCAAAGCAACATTCTCCAGACGAAGCCTCTGTAGCAAAGAGTTGGCCTTCAGCCGCAGGACTGCAGTTCTTGAACTTCGGACAAGCACAGCGCGCAACTCCAGCTTTTATTGCAGACAAGGCATCGTTCGCCCAAGCGCGATCAAGGCGATCATCGCAAAATATTGCGATGCCAGTGTTTTCAGCAGCTTGCCGGAGATCGAGCTCGAAGCGATTCAGCGCATCGATGTAGATCCTTGGACAGAAGAACTGAAACCAGATGTTGTACGACTGCACCTTACAATTGCAGCTTTCCATGTAACTGGAAACCGACTCTAAGGCGAGCTACTGCGCATCCACCCGCACCAGCCTTGACATCTCATCCAGAAGGTTCTCTGGAAGGTCGTTGATGGAATGAGTCGGAACATAATGGGACTCGGTGCCTCAGCCATCGGCCAGGCAAACGACGGCCTTCTAGAGGCGCTACAGCTGCAGTCGCAAGCACTGACGATTTCAGTTTGAAGCCAAGAATCTGATCTGCTCAAGAGGTCCTGAAGCATCAGCAACGATTGACCCTGTTTGCACAGCTGTAACTGATTATGGCATCTCGTGTCGCGCCATCGCCTTGCTGGCCACAAGCACAGCTGTCGGGCAGGCGGCCATGCCTGCAGTTCTGTGCATGCGCGCAAGAGCTCTCGAGCTGTTCTGTGCGAGGCCGAAGCATGGCTTTGCACAGAATGATCGTACCAACCACACACCTAATGCCAGCCTTATCCAAAGCTCTTGGAAATAGCCTGGGTCCCCAGCGTCTCCAAATGGACGAGGCAGAGAGATTCCACATAGAGTTCGGGAACGCCGACAACTTGCACACCTTGTCTGCTATTGAAAGGAAAACCGAAAGAGAGCGAGAAAGAGAGAGAGAGAGAGACAAGGAGGGGGGATGCGGAGCAGGAAATTCCACTTCCCTTGTTGATTATGACGAAGAATGCCAGATGCTGTGGCACTCAGTGGAAAAGTCCCCTTAGCAAGCCATCACCCTTGGCTTTCCGAAAAGACCTTTCGCGGCGTGGCCGCACTAGACGGGAGTGAGCCCCGAGTTCCCGGAAGCCGCTTCCACCTTAAACCTGCCAGCACCTGAAAAACAAAGGCTGGTGCGCACCACGAGGAGCTTGGCCCTGTCCCGAAGCGATGGGTGGGGATGTTTGCTTCTTTTTGAAAGAACGACTGCTGAGGGAGCCTCCTTTTCCCCCGCTTGCTTGCTCTCTCTCTCTCTCTCTGTAGCCCTCTCTCTCTCTCTCTCCCTGTCCCTGGCCCTCTGTCTGGCTGCGTTTGCATATCTTCAAACAAGCGGCTTTGAAGGCCTTTCCTGGCAGCCTGCCCACGAATTTTCTCACATGCGCGAGGGGGGCATGGGAAAGGGGCCTCGAGATCCGGCTGAAGCTCGGAGAAGGGCACGTAGTGGTCCCAGGAGCTGCTTAAGTACCCTGCGAGAGCTGTAGTGTCAGATGGTGGCAGAAACCACATACATGGAATCAGTTGGCATAGTCTGGTCCACACCCGGGCTCTGAATGCCATCAGGTGTCTGCTCTGCATGTTCCAAGGATTGTAGCAGTTATGGCTGACCACACGAGCCCACTCCTGACCAAGGCATGCATTCTGTGCCAGCATGCTGAAGAGGTCAGACGCTGGCAAAGAGTCGCAAAATTCACACATTATCCATGCACTCGCATCACAATAGCAAGTGGCCGGGTCCTTGCTGTCAGGCGTGAACCCTTGGATCGGCTCATTCTTCAGGCTGATGAAGTGGTGAACCCAAGAGTAAAGTCCGCCATAGATGCCTGCCGTGGCCGCATCACAGGACTGCTTTACTCAGCCTGCTTTTAAGCAGCAACAGCTGGATTCTGCGAGCATAACCCCCGACCTGAGTGCGAAACACACTGTTAAGAAAGAGAGTTGCCACCCTGTTCTGACCCGGGTCAACTTGTCAACGAGACTCAGCTGCCTGCTTATGCTGAAACAAATGTGAGAAGCGCTTCTCTGGAACGTGGACTTTCGAACTACAGCTGTGAAATCTGTCCCAACCATCGCATACTTCGGAAAATTCTTAGCGCATCAGTGGAGCACATTAGCCTTTGTAGCAGCACAACTGGTACGGGGGCTCGGAGGTTTTCAGAACTGACATAATCACTGGCTGTGCTTCAGAAGAGTTGAGAAAGCTGTGGAAGGAACTGCTTGCAATAGGCTCTGTGTGTGTGAAGCGCTGCTTACACTAAGACAACGAACTACGGGCCTTAGGAGTAGGTTCTTAACAGTGTCTGGACTAATCATTCCGAGACTGCCTGGCTTGAAAGGGAAGTCCGTGCCCGCGGTGACGCGCTTGCCCCACCAATCAAACTTACATTCCAAAAACTGTGACCTCATGGCAGATTCTGAGCATGTTCTTCCACATGCAAATGCACACGAAACCTGCTTTGCAGCAGTGACCCTGCGAGCAATGACTTAATGCAGGTCGGCACACCCCTGCTCCTTGAAGTCTACTGCATGTAGGCCCGTAGCCTCTGAGACTCCCTGCAACTCCCTGCGACTCCGATCATTACAATCTCCAAGCCGTTGGGATGTCCACCGATCCTGACTGAGGCTTGCGCAACACGTGGTCCAGCGGGTGCCGGATCATCCTCATGTCTCAGCATTTGTACAGGCGCAAAGTAGTTTTGGCGACTGGGCTCTCAGGATACTACAGGGCTCAGGGCCATGAGGGACCTTGCGACAACACACGCACTGTATACCTGTCATCCCCGAAGTAACCAAATATTCAAGAGCACTCTCTCGGACAAGTTGCACCACACGCGTCTCGTTCTCAAGATGAGGCGTGCCTGAAAATGGGCGGAGATGTGTTTTGCCTTGTTTGTTTTCTGTTGATCCTCTTGGGGGCGGTGTAGGTGAGAACAGCAGTTCAGAACGTGAGTGGCTGCTGCCCGACATCACCATGTCGTACCAACAGCTTGTCTGCCAAGTCACCCAGCAATGAGAGCTCCTCGGTGCATCGGTGCATCGAGCGACCATCCATTGACGTGGCAGATAGCGGGACAAGACATCATGTCTCCACAAAAGTCAGTCTTGACGCAAGCTTAGCCTGCTCCGACATGCTCTTCCAGTTGAGACTGAGGCTCCTCATTGTCTAGGAGGGACATCTCGGGCGGAAGCATGAGCGTTGCATCCGCGAAAAAGGAAGTGCCAGCAGTTTTAGGAATGTGGAGAAACCTCTGTCGAGACTCCGCGCGGAAATCAAGCAAGCAAGCCTTGGGAGTTCACACGAACGACCTTCAAACTTTCCGAAGTGCTGGCCATGGAGCACAATTTGGTGAGGCTCCACGCTCTGGGCAGTCTGATTGTTGTTCACATGCGCAGAACTTTCCTGAGCTGAGAAGCCAAAGAGGCAGACCTCCGAGTTGCTCCAAGGGCTTGAGTCACCAAAAGACATGCGACATCGTCATTAGCTGTGCAGCTCAGTGTCAGCTTTGGAAGTGTGTTGAGCCCGAACCTGCAGGCAGCTACAAGAACATGACGTGAACTGTGGAGGAGTGGGACACAGCAGATGCCACACAGGAAATCTCTCGCGAGGCCTGCATTAGTGCCGTTCCCGTAGGAGTGTCATCGAGGCACCCTTCCTTGGTACTTGGGGGACTGAGCGGCTAAGCGGCTACCATCCGCTGCCTTGATTCCTTGATGTGCTTGGGTCAACTTGTGTCGGCGTGTCTGGCCAAGCATCGCTGAAAGGCCTGCAGCACACGAAGCAGGGCAAAGAAGTCAGAATTCGGCACTTCAGGGTTCTCACTACCGTTCATCTGCATCCAGCAACTATGCAGCCCGGGTTGCACATCCGGCAGGCCACAGACTGTCACCAGCATGTGAAGTACTATCGCAGCAGGCAAGCGCGACATCGTTGAAATGTTCAAGTCCACAAGCCCAACAAAGCCCTTCTCACGGGCTACGTCTTGCTGACATTACAGAAGCGACTTCTTGGTGGATCTCTGCAGTCAGATCTTCTGCAAAAACACAAGTGCTGAACATCTGATCCCTAAGTTTTCAAGAGATGGGCTGAGCCTCTCCTTCGGAGAGCCCCGGACCCAAGCCCAGTATGGAAAACTTCAGTGGCTCCGAGGTTTGAACCACAGCCGCGGCTGCGGCGGTACGGGTGTCGTGGCGACCACTCTGTTCTTTGATGTTCTTTGTGCGAACGCACAACCGTCTACAAAGTCCACAGCGCATGTTGGGTCAACTTGCACGAAAATGCCAACCAACTGCAGAAAGTGAGCACGGCAGATCGTGAGCCCAAGACGGCCTGCATTGACTCCCACCGCGCTGCGCACGTCTCCTTGCACGCAATGGGCCACGACGAGTCCATACCCCTTGGACACGCAGAAAGAAACTCTCTGTGGCCAAGAAACCGTGACGTCAGCCACTTGCTGCACGCAGCGCTCATGGTCACGGCAGCGACGTTAAGGCGATAGTCACCGACACAACAGCGTTGCTTGACAGTCTGCACAAATCATATTCATGTTTTAAGAAATCATGAGATTCATCATGTCAAAACTTGGACCAGCATTGAGAGAAAGAAGCCTCAATCCTCTGCGTTGAAATCGGTATATAAGCGCTCTCGGGGGGGGGTGCCGCTTGATCGCAACCATTGGGTTGACTAAACTTGCATTGCCCGTGGCACTTTGGCTTGAGCAGGTCAGAACCGGCAAGAAGTGGAAGGGAGTATATGACAGTACATGCGAAGACTTTGACCAGATGCTGTTGGTACCCTAGAGGTGCCCCCCCATTTCTTCTGCCAGCTTCTCTGCCAAAAGAGTGGCGATGGCGCTGCGGCGGACCTTGCATTGGGGCTTGCTGACGACAGCAGCGCTTGCAACTGGTTGCCAGATTTTTTTTCAGCCAAGGCACGGCAAGGGCCATTTCGAAGGCTTGGGAGGCCTCGGAGAGCTCCTCCACAGGGTCCTGGCTACCAATGCAAGGCATAGCAGGGCCATCCAAAAAGGTGCTAGAATGTGCTGGACAGGCCTCCCCGGTCACCTCCCTCTCATCGTCGTCCGACCGCAGCGTCTCCGCCGGCCCTGGTGGCGGCGGTGGGGGTGGCGGTGGTGGGGGTGGCGGACCTTAGTGGACAATGCCATGACCGGGATTCACTAACAAGAAGTGGACTTGCTGCATGCTACATGTCACGCTGCACGCTTAAGGACCCCGCAAGTTTCTGCCAGCTCACGGAGATTGGGGAGATTCATCCTTGCTTTGCGACCATTTCGGATACACGCTTGGAAACATTTCAGGTTTACTAAGTCATCCACTTCCCGCTCACGACAGTGCGGCATCTGACATCAACTCCCTGCAGCTTTGTAGCATCCGCACTCGCAGATCAAGAGAGCCCATCCGATGTCTGCTTCATGCTTTTTAGCCACGGGCCGGGGGGGTTCAGAGGGCGCCAGCATGACCATGGAACAGGCAATGACCCGGACAAGCCTTGTGGTAAGGCCACGTGGCAAGTGTCAACGACAGGAAAACCGTTGGTGCAAATCCGGGTTCTCGTCCCCCATAAGGTCCCGGAGCGACACAAAACGAGCCTGAAGCAGCTCTTTGCATTGGCCCGCCAGCCTTCCCAGCCCACCTGTCTCCAGAAAATGCTGATGTCGGGAAGACGAGGCATCGGTGGCGGTGACCCCACGGGCAACCGGGCTCCTAATCTCGGTTGCACACAGGGTGGCGAGGCAGAGTTGGCGATCCTCAGTGGCCAGAAGCGCTGGGTGCCCTGGAGGGCTTCGCTTACAGCCGCTCCCCAGAAAGTGCTTGGTTGCGCTCGGCAAGATGTCGCTCTCTTTCCCGAGGCTCTGCTTGGATGAGGACCAGATCATCGATCGCCAGGCCGACGCAAAGTAAACCTAGTGGAAACAGGGCAGTGTCACTGGCGACCAAATCTCCGCCAGCGACCACAGCTTTGCTGGCAACAGCGACACCGAAGCCAGCAGCTCGGAGAGCTCACCGCTGCCCCTCTCCCCCCTCCTCCCCTCCCACCCCCTCCAGAGAGGGGAAGGGCCCTCCTCAAAAGTCAAACAGCTCCCGACGTCGGGAAGGGTGGGATGAAGCGGCTGGCGATCCAACGGGTGCGCACGTGGCAAAGGATGCGGACCAGTGCGGTTGCCTCAGAGGCTCCAAAGGCTGGCCAGACCAAGGCCACAAATCCCATACACCCAAAAACCGCCGAAGGCAGGTGCCAAGTACAGGTGTCAGGAACAGGCAAGACGGGCGGTCGGAGGCAGGGACCTTAGAGGAAGTGAGGTACTGCAACAAGTGAACCGACAGGCCAACGGACGACGCACCGACGCACCGACGAGGGCCCCCAATTCTTACGGAGGCATTCCTGCACAACAAACAGGAGGAAGCAAGTCTCGAAGAATTCTTATGAAAGCAGCATGACTGGACTCATTGCACAGGAGTGTGAAGCTACACCCAACTCTAACAGAGGAGAGCGTCAGCTGCGTCACATGCAGGGCAAAGACATCGTGCTCTGAAACGCTGCTGCGCTCCTTAGACACTGAATAAGACTGGAGTCAAGGCTCGGCTTACCACTTGCATCATTGTTTCAGCCACGCGCACAGCAAGTCAGCAAGTCAGCAAGTGTCACGAGAGATCAGTCCGTCCAAGGCTCGCCGCGCAGCTCGACCTCAAGTTGCTCAAGACCTCGCCGATACGGCGGCCTTGGCACGCAACCGTCAAGTGGGGAGCCGCATGTTCCCCAAAGCTAGCTTTTCGTCAGAAGTACATCTGCAAGACGCAGGACACGTGCATCGAAGTCGAGTGCACATTGCAAGCCAAAGAGCGAGGGTCAGTAGAGCAGAGTCAACTACTTGACAAGTTTACAGATGAAGTGCGCACTGCTGAGAAACATTAAGAAGCCTGATTGCCTTGCCCAAATCTCGCTCTAAGTAGGTTTGGTGAAGCCACAGGATTGTTGAAAACACCTAGCACTGCAGACTAGCGGAGGGTTGATGACGTCTTCGCCTTCCCGCTACCTGGCGGCTGGATTGACAAATAACACGGGCAAGGACATGGTGTGGCAGACATACAGGTGGTTCAAGAAGGTGCCCAGCAGACCAACAGTTCACGATGTCGAGAAACGACCCACTTGAAGCCCAGCATGGCCTAAAGGTTTGTTGTGGTATGGCGGCAGCGCCGCCCAACCCACATTGTTGGGGCCATGCTGGGCCCGTTCTGGACCTATCGGCACGATCCCCATCGCAGCGCTCGGTCTTGGATATACATTTGATTTCCACTTCTAGCATCATGACCAGGAGACGTGTGTTTACAACGGAGTTTCCACCTGATCCACCTGTAAGTGTGGCCAGCGATGGCAGTAAATAAACAAGAACATCCCGTGCTCGCGGCAATGGATCGACATCCATTCGAGCTCGAAGGAGTCGGCAGTAAGCCTATGCCACAGTGCCACACGCTTCAGCTCTCCTAGCTCTCCTAGGAGGAGACCACAAGCATCACAAGCGACCCCCCGGCCTCACGCAACGTGTGCCCATTGCAAACGAAGAAAGCCAGGGCCAACGTAGGCGAGCGATTGTGGCCCTCGCGCAAGGCTTGCTCAGCTTAATGTCTCTCGTACTCAGGAAGTTTGCAACAGTTCGCAACTTTCACACCGTGTCGCATCACAGCGTCAACACTCAGATCCCAAAAGGCTGTCCAGGCTCCGTCCCACGCCCAGTGCACCTGATCGCAGTGCAGTAGCACCACTCGGTCGCCAACTGCTTCTGCAGGTTGCACTGCGGCCTGCAGAGCCTGAAAGTAAGACGGGGTTTAAGCTTAGCAAAGCTTAGTGTTTAGAGCAGTTGTCAGGGCCGGTTGAGATCTGTTGAGAAGGAATATCGGGGAATGCAAGCCTGGAGCGGCTCGGCCAAGTCATGTCTCCTCGGCTTCGCTTTCGACTTGCGATGCTTCTCAGCGCGACTGAGGCTTCACTGACGCTTCACTGAGCTCTGAGTGCCGGTCAGGTCCAGCCTTTCGTCCGGTCGAAGCCAATCAGACATCTGAAAATACTGAAGTTGTATGTCGACATGGCCGTTCCTGGGAAATCCAACATGTCTCACACACCACGAACACAAGAGACGTCACACAAAATGTCGACAAATACCTTTCCAAACGAGGATCTCCATCTGCATTGTCGTAAGCGCCTTAAAGTTCCGGTACGAGCCCACTGAAATGACGTGGGACACGCGTGCACCAAGCCTCAGATAGCGAGACTCCCTCCGCACACTGCGGCACCGCGACGGGTTGCAGAGCTCTGCAATGTGCAGCCACGTGCACAGAGCTCCGCTTGTGACTGCCGCGGCTGCATTGCTGGCGCCACCGAGCACCAGGGCCGCGAAGCCAGCGGGTTCGGCCCAACGCCAGAGCTCCTAAGATGCCGCATCGCACAAACCGCACTTGGGCATCGCGGCTCTCCTGTCGCATGAACCAACAGGCCCAACATGTGGTCCATCATGTGGTTCCCTCATCTTATGACACCTCAGTACCCTGTTGTCTTTGTGTTGTCTTTGCCCTGTTTTCTGGCCCTGCTTCGCTTCTTGATCTGAATTTCCAGGCGTTGCTTTTCGACCCTGTGGCTTCTCTCCAGGATTGTGCACTGAACACAATCATCACCCGCAACGCGCTTTTAGGATCAGGCACGCATGTTGAAGCCATGATGTACAGCGAGATTGTGCATGAGACAGTTTTTTAGATGCGAGATCATGCGTATTCGCCGTCAGTTGTTGAAATTTAGGGCTTTGAGCTTTGAGCGTGAGGCACTGTTGTGGGGACCGGGAGCCACGATGGGGACGAATAAGGGTCGGATAAGTTTCCGTGTATCACTTCTGGGATAGGTACCGGAATGCAAAGACCCCTACCCCCCCGGCTACCCTCAGGGGCGGGGGGGCGGCTCTGGCGTGGAGCCCTATGCGGGCGATTGACCCCTATCCCTTTCAGATAGGTCCCTATGCCTACAAAACCCTAAGCCCTAAATACTAAACCCGAGAAAACCCTGCTTGCCCCAAAACCCCCTAAACCCCAAACCCTAAAAAACACCTAAACCCTAAACCCCGAAAAAACCCTAAAACCCAAACCCTGAAACCCGTAAACCCTTAGTTTCAAAAAACAACTAAACCTAACCTCTAAAAACCACTAAACCCTAAACCCTACAAATATAAATACATAAACCCTAAACCCTGAAAAATAAAACCTTAAAAAACAACGCCCTAAAGCCTGAAAACCCCTAAGCCCTAAACAACCCTAAACCCTACACCCTAGAAACCTCTAAACCCTGACCCCGAAAAACTCCTAATCCCTAGATCCTAAACCCCGTAACCCTAAGCCCAAAAAACCCCTAAGCCCTACATTACTCCTAAAAGCCTTAAACCCTACGGCCCTAAACCCCAACAAAACCCTAAACCCTAAAAGCCCCTTAACCCTAAACCCTAAGAAGACAACTAGACCCTAAACACTAAAAACCCTAAGAAACCCTAAACCCCTAAAAACCCGAAAACCTCCTAAACCCTAAACCCTAAAAACCCGTAAACCCTAAACCCTGAATAACCTCTAAACCCTAAACCCTAAAAACCCCTGAACCCAAACCCTGAAAACACCCTAAATCCTAAGCCCTCCAAAACTCCAAACCCTAAACCTCAAAACCCCTCAGCCTAAACCCAAGCAACCCTAGACCCTGTAAACACCCAAACTCTAAACCCAAAACTGCCTAAACCCTCAAAACCCTAAACCCTAAACCCTGAAACCCCCTAAACCCGAAACCCGAAAACCCTGAACCCCAACGAGCCCCTAAATCCTAAACCCTGAAAACCCCTAAGCCCTGAACCTACAAAAGACCCTACACCCCAAACCCGAAAAAAACAAACCCTGAACTTAAAAAAACACTAAACCTAAACCCAAAAAAACAAACGTAAACCCTAAGAAACCCCTAAACCCTAAACCCTAAACCCAAACAACCCCTGAACCCAAAAAAACACTAAACCCCAAACCCGAAAAAACCCTAAACTCTTAGTTTCGTTTCATGTTTGTGGTCTGCATTCGGGAAAGCGTTCAATTGCATCTCAGTTTCGTAGTGTGTATACTGGAAGGCGTTAATTGCGTCTTCGTTTCGTTTCAATGTGCGGGGTGAAGGGGAAGGGGTTTGATTGCGTCTTGGTTTCGTTGCAATTTTTTGTGGCGTGCATGGGGGAAAGCGTTTAATTGCGTCTTAGTTTCGTTTCAACTTTTCGTGATGTGTATGAGGGAAAGCGTTTAATTGCATCTTAGTTTCGTTTCAATTTGCGGTGTGTATAGGGCAAAGAGCCTAATTGCGTCTCAGTTTCGCTTCAACTTTTCGTGGTGTGTATAGGGGACAAACATTGATTGTGTCTTAGTTTCGTTTCGTGTTTTGTGGCCTGTGTAGGGGAAAGCGTCCAATTGCGTCTTAGCTTCGTTTCAATTTGTAGTGTGTATACTGGAAGGCGTTAATTGCGTCTTCGTTTCGTTTCAATTTGTAGTGTGCATACTGGAAGGCGTTAATTGCGTCTAAGTTTCGTTTCCATGTGTGGTGTGAAGGGGAAGGGGTTTAATTTCATCTTAGTTTCGCTTCAATGTTTTGTGGCATGTGTAGGGAAAAGCGTTTAATTGCGTCTTAGTTTCGTTTCAAGTTGTTGTGGTGTGTATGAGGGAAAGCGTTTCATTGCATCTTAGCTTCGTTTCAATTCGTGGTGTGTATAGGGGAAGGCGGTTAATTGCGTGTTAGTTTCGTTTCAACTTTTGTGTGTATAGGGGAAGCGTCTAATTGCGTCTCAATTTCGTTTCAACCTTTTTTGTGGTGTGTATAGGGGAAAGCATTTCATTGCGTCTTAGTGTCCTTTCAGTTTGTGGTGCATGTAGGGCAAAGAGCCTAATTGCGTCTCTGTTTCGCTTCAACTTTTCGTGGTGTGTATAGGGGACAGAGTTTAATTGTGTCTTAGTTTCGTTTCATTTTGCGGTGTGAAAGTGCCTAACAGCGTCTCAGTTTCGTTTCAACTTTTCGTGGTGTGTATAGGGGACAGAGATTAATTGTGCCTTAGTTTCGTTTCAATACTTTGCGGAGTGTATAGGGGAAAGCGTTCAATTGCATCTTAGTTTTTTCGTGGTGTGTCTACTAAAACGCATTTACATGCGTCTTAGTCTCGCTTCAATTTTTCTGGCGTGTGTGGGGGAAAGCGTTTAATTGCGTCTTAGTTTCGTTTCAACTTTTCGCGATGTGTATGAGGGAAAGCGTTTAATTGCGTCTTAGTTTCGTTTCAATTTGTGGTGTGTATAGGGGAAAGCGTCTAGTTGCGTCTCAGTTTCGTTTCAACTTTTCGTGGTGTGTATGAGGGAAAGGGTTGAATTGCATCCTAGTTTCGTTTCAATTTGTGGTCCTGCTGCTGCTCCTGCTGCTGCTCCTCCTAATGCTCCTCCTGCTCCTCCTGCTGCTCCTCCTGCTGCTCCTCTTGCTGCTCCTCCTGCTGCTCCTCCGGGTGACAGGCAAATCAGTCAAGCATTACTCAGCAAACATGAGGGCAAACCAGAAAACAAGACAGGGCAAATCAGAAAAAATGGGCACGATTCAGAAAACAAAGTCACCGCACAATGCATCTGTTTAGTGCGCTTTCTGCATCGGTGCAGAGGTTAACCTAACGGAACCTACCCTAATCTAATCTGCCATACAAGAGGCCTATCTGATAGGGGTCTATCGAGACCCCTACCCCCGGCCCCCTACTCCTAGGCGATAGACCCCTATCCGCAGGGGTCTGTCTGGTGCGGACAGGTACCTATGCATAGGCCGCTCGCCTGGAAAGGAAAGGGGTCTTTCTACGGGGGGGCATAGCCTAGACATAGACACCTATCCGCGGCATAGTCCCTTCATTCGTCACCTCACAACTGTACCCTAAACCCTGAGTCCCTAAACCCTACACCCGAAATACGAAACCCGAAACCCGAAACACCAAACCCCAAACCCTACACCCTAAACCCCAAACGCTAAGATGTGCAAGGCTGGAAAGCTCGAATCTGCCGGTAGCAGGCTTTCATACTATTGCTGTTGGGTTGAGTTGTTACTGCAGGTCCTAAAAACCGAAACCCTAAAACCCTACAATCCCAAGCCCTAAACCCTCAAAAACCCCTGAACCCTAAACCCTAAAAACCCAAGCCCTAAACCACTAAACAAACCCTTAACCCTAAACCCTAAAACAACCTAAGCCTAAGCCCTGACAACCCAAATCTCTAAAACACCCTAAACCCTATAACCTAAACCCAGCCCTAAACCCAAAAACACTCTAAACCTTAAAAAACCCTCAACCCTAAACCCTTAAAAAACCCCTAACCCCTAACCCCTAAAAATCCTAAACCCTAAACCCCTAAACCCTAAAAACCTGGCCCTAAACCCTAAAAATCCTAAACCCTAAAAACCCTAAGCCCTACACCCTAAGAACCCCTGGGCCCTAGACCCCAAAAATCCCTAAACCCTAAAAACCCCTCAACTTCTAACCCCGAAAACTCTAAACCCTAAAAAACCCCAAAGCCCTAACCCCTAATAAATCCAAACCGTAAAAAAACCCTAAAACCCAAAACAACCCTCAACTTCCCTCTACTTCAAACCCCGAAAACTCTAAACCCTAAAAACCCCCCACCTAAACCTAAACCCTAAACCCTAAAAACCCCTCAACATAAGCATGTTTTTTCAAAACCATCATGCGAGCATTGTGTTTGCAAAGGGGGGGGGGTGCGCCGACCCCCCCCCCCCCTGCGTTATTCTTTTATTCTTTTTCGAACCCATCATGCGAGAAAACAACCCCCAAAAACCCTAAACCCGAAAAAAAACCTAAGCCCGAAAAAACCTAAACCCTAAAGACCCCGAAACCCTAAACGTTAAAAGCCACTAAACTCTACACCCTAAACCCTAAAGCCCCCCAAAGCCTAAAAACCCTGAAGCCTAAACCAAAAAAAAACCTAAACCCTAAGACCCTAAAACCCTAAACCATTTTTCCCCCTAAGCCCTCAACCCTAAAACACCCCAAGACCTACACCCTAAAAAGCCCTAAACCCTAAACCCTGAAAACCCCTAAACCCTAAGCCTAAACCCTAAAAACCCCTATTTAAATAAAGCAAACCTTGCTGCTCGAGCGCAAGTGATAAATGTGTTTCCATGGGGTCTGTATAGGGGTCTATCGACACGCCTATCATAGGGGGGTACTTAATAGACCTATCTTCAATAAATTTGTCGTGGGGGAGATCCCTGAACCTAATCCCTAGAAGCACACCCTTAAACCCTGTCATGTTAGCTTAGGTTAGGTCAGGTTAGGTTAGGGGCCTGCCCTCTTGCATTGCAGATTAGGTTAGGGTAGGTTCCGTTAGGTTAGGTCAGGTCAGGTTAGGTTAGGTTAGGTTGGGTTACGTTGGTTTGGGTTGGGGTCGGGCTCTTCTGTCCTTGCTCGTCCACTCCAGGCTACGGCGATGGCCCGCCAGGATGTACGTTTCACCGTGAGTTTTGGAGAAGAGAGACCGATGCAAATGCATGGCTGCCCATGGATGCTGAGTCGCCTTCGCTGTTTGCTGATTCTGCCCTTGCTGTTTTCTGAACCATGGCTGTGTGAGTCGAAGTCTTGTTTTCTGATTTGGGCAGCACCCCTGCTCCTCCTGCTGCTCCTCCTTCTGCTGCTCCTGCTGCTGCTCTTGTTTCTGGAAAAACAAGCCCCCTCACCTCTTCCTCAACACGAGGCCCCCCCCCATCCCCCGCCCATACTCTTGGGAGGACGAAGGGCCCCTCATACTCCTGGAAGACGAGCCCCCCCCCGCGCTAACGAAGCTATCTGCAGCATACATGACCTGCGTTCTGAGCTTGCGAAAATGCATCGTTCTGCTTTCCCTTCTGTTCTTGGTGTCTGAATGCGTTCAATACACACTTGCGCATTGCGCTCGCATGCCAAGAAGCTGAAACACCGCATTCGTTCGGGGACAGGCCGAGCGACATGGCCCATGAACATGCGGCAAGCTAGGTATCCCTCATGCTGCGGGTGTTAGCTCGCCGCAGAGTTCCCGAGTTGAAGCACACATACTGGTCCATTGGTAAGCATCCGGTGCTCAACGCTTGCTCTGTGGCTGGTTGGCTTTGCCTTTAGTTTTAGTTGATGACGTGCCGCCGTGGCCCGAAAAATGACCGGCAGCAGTACTCAGTAGCAGCTATCCACATGAGATGGCTGGTTGATGTATCTTGGATGGCTACCATGCCGGCGCAGGGCTGCTCAACCAACGCATCTCAAGCACTGCTTAGCACTCGAAACACCAGAATGCGACACGAACAAGAGAAGACAAATGTGCTACGAATGAGCGTTTTGCCTGCAGAGGTACTTTGTGATGTACGGCCTCTGATGGGCTTTAGGCTTCGTCACGAGGCCAAACAACTACCAGGAGGCCAGCAGGCTGGCCATCGCCGAGACCACAGCCATGCCGAGGCCAGTGGCCTGCACAAGCCCCAAACTGTCGCAAGAACGACAAAGCATGCATAGTCCTGCCTTGGTAGCACTCGGCACAGCGAACATGGCGATGCCATGAATTCCAAGTGCATCGGCAACCTTCACCTCATGCGCGCCGCAGACTGCGCACGACAAAGCAACACTGAGGCTCTCAGGTACCTGGCAGTGATGAACTCACACACTACTTTCACGACTTCACATGACGCATTGTTCGAGGCTTCAGCCACTGCATGTCGGCTTGCTGTGCTTGAAGGAACTGAGACGACCTGAGAAGCAGTACAGCAAGTGCTGACATTAACAAAAAGCTCAAGCCACACAACTGCACGATTTCCGAGATTCGCACAGCACCGCTTCCAGCATCAGCCACGAAGAGCGTCGCATCACCATCCTTGCGTCTCGACATGCATCAAAGCTTTTGCCATCTCTGTATCCATGCAACACAACTTTAAGCTGCATTCACAGTGTAGAGCCGTGCCCCTGACCCAGCACATGTCGACTGGGTTTGACACCTTCAAGCTTCAGCGAACAGCGCTCTAAGCGCTGCTGCAAAGGAAAGTTGTCGGTTTGACTCACAACAACACCAGTGCAACTGACCTGGGCGACGCGGTGCACACAGTGGTCGTCCGCAGCACAGCCAGTCAGGCTGTCCTCGCTCCTCCTTTCCATGTGGAATGCCGAGCACGCGGCGGCTCCAACGGAATGCGCCATTTGACAGCGACTTAGGCGACTTAGGTCAGCACAATGCAAAGATGCCTGGCCGGCCCTGCACTGGACGGCCGGCATAGAAGATGCCAGAGGCTGTGACCGCCAGGCCTGGTCAACTGCTGTGTCATGATCCCTGTGTTTTTCTTGCTTGCTCAACGACGTATTGTGAAAAGTCACAAACACAACGCGAAAGAAGCGCACACCGTAACCTCTGCACCAAGCTGAAAGGAGCAACAACTTTAAAACCAACACATAGCCTACACAACAGGACAAATCAGGAAGGAGCTTGTCGAGTTCCTCAATCTCGTGCTCCAGCGACAATCAACACACATACACCGGTAATTTGACACCCACCCAATTTCTAGACATTGCCAGATAAGCGGGCACAGCTTGAGTAAGTACAAGCACTCGTGTTCGGATAACACTGCTCTCGACGGTATGTGAGCTCGATACTCTCACGAATGGTTACAGTCTGACCCGCCTGTGACAGCCTGTAAGTTGTTGGCAAGAGCATGTGCGCTGGCCTTCGGAATGAACTGAGCAAACACAACACTTGCTCTCACAATAGGGGATCTAGTGCGGGACCAGTTTGTCAGTGCCTTGGACTTCGGAGCAGCTGCACCCCCGGGAAATGGAGCTGGAACAGTTTGCGGACCACGCACCACTGCACCTGGAAATATGAGCCCAAGCAGGCGTCTTTTGGAATCTTACCGAGATCTACATGTTTTGCTGGGACTTCGAGACACTGGAGACGCGCACTGGCATTGCCCTTGACGGCATTGCCCCAGAAGAGGGTGAACCTGGCAACATGCTCGTTTTGCTTGCCGCACAAATGCACATGTTCTTCTTTGCACGCACATGCCCCAAGAGTCATGCCGAAATTGTAAAAAGCTGTACATTGTGCACAACTTCAAAGTTTTCGGGGGTTGGGGGGGTTTATGGTGGGGGCGATTGCGACTTTGCAGGGCGTTGTATGCCAGCTCGTTGCTATGTTTGTGACCCGTGAAGAAGCTACAAGTTCGGCTAGTTCAAAACCCTTCATTCGAATCACTCAGCTTGTTGCTGCTGACTTTTCGGTTCTTGAAAGAAACGGCGTGAAGTGTGTAGTCATAGCTTTGTTACGGGCTGCGTATGGCGGTAGCCAAACATGCTAGCTCGGAGCTGGTGCATGGCCGAAGGGCCGGAGGCTTGCACTCCTAAACCCCCAAGGTGCGGCGGGGTGGGCTGGGGTGGGGGGGGCGGGGCGCTCGTAACCCGAACCACTACTGGTTCGGGTTCAGGTTTGGGTTCTGCCCACCCTCCCCGCACTATTGGACAGGTTAGAGGGTCCGTTGGGGGGAGGGGGGGCGAGGGGGGCAGCGGCGGAGAACGCGCAGCCCAAAAACCATTTACACTCACCAACACTTTTGAAGGAACCATAGATGCACTCACCAAGAACAGCAATATTGATGTAGACCAAATAAACAATAACAAATCCAGAATTGGGTTCCTAGTTGGCGACCGTAGCAGCTAAAGAACCGAACATCCACGTTGCGCATCCCTTCCAAACTTTTTCCGAGGACCTGACAATTCTCTCCCTTTTCAGGTTGTCATGCCTTTGTTCTGGAAATCTGGAACTGCCTCACCGATGCTTGTTTGTAAGACCTGGTCCAGCAAACAGCAAAGCAGAATACCCAATCGTTCGGGAGAAAGGATCTGCAAAAAGCCCCATGGTCTTACGTGTTTCTTTGCAAACGGGGCAAGGACTATTTCCATGCTGGAAGCTCACACCCTCATCTCGTTTTCGCGTGCCATGCAGGCAAGCTGCTGTCGGAATGATTTCGGAGCACGCTCCTTCAAGCCCTGCTTTGGGAAATATTAGAACCCTGATGCGGTTGGTCCGGTGCAGCCTGTCGCCTATCCGATAGGGCAGCTACATGGTGTAAAAAACGTATGCAAACAAGGCCGGCTTTGCATGTCTACCGCCACTGGTCCAGGTTGATGGATCTCTGGCCTGTCACTCAAGAAAGTCTTGCTGCGACCAGCTTAGCCACTCTAAGCACCAGGCGTGGAAGGGCTCATGGGCTCTGACGTTGCCGGAGCTCCATCCCTGGCACGTTTCATGACAACCATTTCTTGTACACACTTTCCGCCAGCATCGTTGTTTCGAGGTTTCGACTAGACGTGATGCTAAGGATCCGGGCGGGAGCAGTGCTGGAATCCATGAGCCATCACCGGCCGTCCTGCAGAAGCTTCCGTAAAAACTTTGCAAGGCTGAATGAAGTCCAGTCTTAACATGCACTTTGCAGAAGACTGACTCCCGTCCAGAGGCGCTTCAGTGGCCCAGCAGCTTCCAAAGAATCGCCTGCCTAGCCACGTATGCTGTAGCAAGCAGCGTTCTTGCAAGCTAGGAACAAAAACGAAATGCATTTTGCAAGGATTCCGCCTGCTTGTAGATGGCGCTGTGCCCTGTGAGGGGTGGGCTCGCAATCGTGCGGCCAGAAATGAACAGGTCCCCTGCCTGCAAGCTACTCAGTGCACGGACCAGATAGGAACTCAGCATTGACATTGAGCTCAGATGTGTGTTGACAAGGTGAGGCTGCGCTCAGCTCAGCTCAGCTGGGCCTGGCTCACAGCCAAGCCTTTGGCGACCACATTCTCCGCAGCAACGTGCTGCAGGCCTGGGACACTTGCTGAAAGCAGAATGCGAACAGCCACGCTTGAGAATGAACGCGAGCTCAGTCCGCAGCCATCTGTGACGAGGAATTTGCTAGGCAGAACCTGCGATGACCAACCACAGCTGAGTGAGTTGAAGTACCACTTCGTGGAGTAAGTGCGGCCCACCTTCAACTTGTACCAGAAGACTTTGCTGGCTGTAGGGTCTGCTACAAACAACCTGGCAAATGGACTTTTACAGGAATACGAGTTGCTCTGACTCTCTGAGCTGCCTTTGCTACGATACAAGATTATGCAAAACGATGTAACCCCCCCCCTCCCCCCGGCCTCATGTTCTGCTCATCGACAGCCAGGGCTGCAGGGTTCGACACGTTGTGGACGATCAGCGGCCGCCATGTAGGATCAGGAAGTCTGCAAGTGAAGCGCACAGCACTTTCCCAACACTGGAGTGGAAGTCACCAGACTTGCCTGGCATAGCTGATCTTAAAATCCTTGGGGAAGCTGGCAATCAAATACCTGGGCAATCTCCCGCCTACACTTTTCTGCATGAAGAGCAGGCATAAACGGATGTACATCCTAAAATGCACACGTGCAACCATCATTTTCGCGAAGCGGCCTCTCCGTCTCTCCTGGTAGAGGGCTCTTCCACTGGAGCCCAGAGGATTCAAAGCCCGTCTCCCAGTTGATGCCCAACTGGCGTGCAAGTGGGGCTGCAAGGCAAAGGCTCTCTGGGTCTAGTACAAGTTGTCTGCACGCTTACAAAGCTAACAAAAGCCGACACGATCCCTAAGCCGTTCCCAAACTCGGTGCCTTCAGGGCATCGGACTGCGCACCAAAGACTCGGAAACACGCGTGACTTCGGAGCACAAGCGAGCAGAACGTGAAGTGCCCTTTGCAAGTTCCAGGGATGTCGAAATGCTTGAAGCTCATTGCTTTGCAACTGCTTTGCAAGGCTGAGCCCCAAACCTACAAGTGCAGTCCACACCTGGGTTTGCGAACTGACATTTGAGTTGTGTCGACTGACAAAGTGCGTCACACAGCACAAGCCAGCAGGTCCACCACGATGATCTGAGATCCCGGCCGCTGCATTTCGGCGCCAGGCCATGGATGCAAGATCGGGAGGAACCGACCCCGCGCTGGAACGTGTTGCAGTAAATGCAGTGCACGCACACGCACGCGCACACACACACACACACACACACACTCAATGCTCGACCTATCCCCCGGCTGGGAGCTTACAGTTCTCCAAGACGGTCACGAGTCAAGAGCACTACTTCAACTGAATGTTGCATTACCCAACTACTTTCCCCACCCGACCTGGCGACCGCCCTCCTCTTTGCCCCTGTTCTCCCACAGCTGCGAGGTTGCTAACGCATTCTTTCACAGGCATCCATCACCGCCTTTATGTTCTTGAAACTCAACTTCAAAGAGAAAGCCGGGCAGGTGCCGGCGGGACTGTGGCAGTGGAGTGGCTGATTCATCAACTCGAGGCGTCGCTATTGAAATGTGTCCCCGTCGCTTGATCGGGTTTCGGGCACGCGTACCTGCCTGCCCGAATTTTCCAAAGCCCGCCATAAAACCTCCTTGAAAGCCTGCGGCAAGTTTAGCGCAGGTGGTCAGCTGGCTGAACTCTCAGAGAAACTGCCCGAAAGGGTGGTTGAGAGGTAGGGGGTCTGTCTCAGGTAACATTATGTGGCAGCACGGTAGCAGGGGTCGAGATCTCCGAGTCGCCCATCAGTACTGAGCGCCTTGATGCATCTGGCCTGGAGCTCTCTGGCAGCATCCAACAGCGGAAACGTCTTCTGAGTGCATGGAACAATACCCATTAGCACGAGAACAAGCGCCTGAGCCACTCGAACCAGCGCCCCACCTGCAATGAAGTGCCACTCCAAGCACGCGAGGCTTGGTCAACGAATCGCGCCTTTCGTCCCACTGGCCCCAGAGTAGCCTCAGTGAGCGGCTCTACACCATTATACAACTCCTACTCCCACATTTAAAATGGCGCTTACCGGTGGAGCTGGCATGCGAGGGGGGTGCGAGCAGAACGCGAAGCATAGCGTGTGTGGCACTGGGTATGTTTGAGACTACGTCTCATAAGGCAAGATCTTACAACAATGTGGAGTCTAGCCGCCACTGAGCGCCGTCGTCACACCAATGATGGGCAGTAGCAGGCTTTTACCATGCCATAAAAGTGATAGAACGTAGCTGAATTATTGCTAAACGAGCCACGGCTGCGGAACACCTGCTTTGCTAGTGACTATGACCCTGCAGTTGCCATACTAGCGAACACCCTTCTCCAGCCGAGCGTCACACCGGCCTCCCCCAACCAGCACGAAGAGCTACACCCGGGGATGTGCCCGAACCCAGTCAGGAGCCGGACGCAGGACGCATCCTTGAAGTCGAACTTGAACTCCAACATGTTCTACTATGAACGCTCGCTTCCCACATCCAGATCACCCACTTCAGAACTGGCAGGATCACTCCTCGCAGCATATGCGCTAAAAATTTCCGGCGCGAGAACTTCTGGAAGGAAAACCTGCGTAACAAAGTGGCGCTTTTTCTTTTACCCTTTGCGACATGGCAAGATAAACTTCCGAGCACTTCCATCAACGTCTATGGTGGATGTCGCGCGACGTACTGCTAAATACAACCTCACTGTAGAGAATGACCCGGAACTCGATGTCGATCTTGGCTACATGGAAGGCAGCCCACGGACACCTACTACCAGACCTATCGCCACGTTGCACGGCATACACTCGGTCTTCCTCTCTAGTCTGGCGAATTTTCCTCTACACGGACAAGTTCTATCTCCAACGTGGCATGAAGGCGCTCGTCCTCCTACGTGCCCACACCTTTGTGCGAGTGGACCCCAGACCACTGCGCCCTTGCCACATTGAGCATCGAGGAGTACTCGCCCACAACCCTCAACATCATAGACTGTTGCAGCACGGGAACTGGTGACGCGCCAATCCACACCCGGATCACCATTTCCGGACAACGCTTTGGGGCAACCACCCGACCTCTGGAACATGGCCTTCGTCACCTTCAAGATCTCTCCACCCCGAACCTCAAACCCGACACCTTAAACCTAGACTCAAACTCTAGTCGGTGTTGGGTTCCCGGCTGCAGGTAGTGCTCATTCAGCCGCCTTTCCTTGCAAACAGGCTTGGGCTTCGGAAGACTTTCAAGGGGTTCTTGTTCAGGGATCTGGCCTTAAACAACTGCCACTCGAGGTGGATCTGCTCCTCCTGGAAACTCAAGCGAAAAAATGGACTGCTGGATAGGCTTCCCACAGAGTGGCCTCCATCACGTCGTACAAGGCTCCAACGTTTCGCCTTGCTTCCTGCTGCTCTGGGCAGTGTAGATTGGGGGGGGAGGGGGGGTCTTTTGGCCAGGGCCTTGAAGCCTGGGGTGCCAAACGACATTTGCGCGGGGGCTGTTTCTATGGCCAAAGCGCTTGATGTTTCTATGCCTGCCATGAGGGACGAGCAAGTCTTATATGGCCAGGGCGCCTGAGGCTTGCATGACCGCATGATATGCACGAGGGACAGTGTATATGGCCAAGGCACTTGATGCTTATATGCCCGTCACATCAAGAAGCGCTTCGGTACTTGGGCTGCAACAAGCGTCGGTACTTAGGCGGCTCCGTACTACAAAGACGCATACAATTAAGCTATAACCCTGGCCCTAATTAAACAGATCGGAGGTTGCTTTCTCCCCCAAAACCAGCCCAAAACTCCATCAGAGCAAACCCCGCTTTTCGGCTCGAGATCGGGGGTTTGCTTTCTCCCCCCAAACCGGCGCAAAAGTGAACCCGCGTTTCGGCTCGAAATCGGTTCAGCTACCACGCAGCACTGTTTGCTCCACTTCTGGGAGGGCCTGGCCACCTTTTCGTGGTTCAGAGTGGTGTCACCCCCAACCCCCTTATCAAAGAAACCTTTCCCCCCCCCCCCCCCCGCCCAAGTGTTTGTACTAGGGACCCCGCACGCAAGACGTGTGGGGCAAGTGGGGCGAGGGTTTTCTACCAATTTGCTCGGCCACAGGTCGGGAGAGCCCAAGCGGGGGCGCGGGGGGCGCGGGGGGCGTGTGGGGGGTGTAGGGCGAGTGGGGCAAGTGGGGTAAGTGGGGCAAGTGGCAAGTGGGCAGGCATGCAGGTGGGGCAGGTGGGACAAGTGGAGCAAGTGGGGCAGGCTGCTTTAATGTTCCCCCCCATGCGGTCGCAATGTAAAATCCTTCTAGCCCCTTGCTCTCAGAGTGCTGTGCTTATTGATGTTTACTGCACACTTCCCAGGATCGCAAACAAAATCACGAACAAGTTCTCTGAGCATTCGGCCGTCAAGTCTTTCTGCAAGTCCTCAGAACGCCGGCACGTCTTGTTCGAGAAGTCTGTGATGACTCGACTTTGTCTTTCACACTTTGGGATCATTTGAAGCCGAGGACTTAGCTCCCTTCTGAAGTTGCAGGACTCGGGCCTGGCTCCCGAGGGGCTTCTTGTGGTTTTGGGTTTTGGGTCTTGGGTCTTGAGTTTTGGGTTTTGGGTTTTGGGTTCTGGGTCTTGGGTTTTGGGTTTTGGGCTTTGGGCTTTGGGCTTAGGGTTTCAGGCGGAGGCCTCCATAATCGAGCCCTGAAACCAAAGGATATTCTCAAGCGCTAGCAGCGCCCTCCTTACTCATTGCTGTTGGTATCAATCTTCAGCTGGACTTCAGCACATGGAGACTTCTGGCTGCACATCCAAACTCCAAACCTTGAAAACGTCAAGCCCCCAGTTCTAAATGGCCCGGCGGGAAGCGACGGTTCAAGTCTTACTGTATATCAGACTGAAAAATTCACCATTGCTTGACTCATTCCTGCCTCCCGATATCATGAACGCCCTTTGCTGACTGGATACGACCTCTACCGCTTCGACATCAGAGCCAAAACCCCTTGTCAAGGGCGCTGCCTCATCCTGATACTTCTAATTCTCCTGGCACGAGTTTCTGGAGCTGCTCACAGGAGGTCATCCATGCCCCATCTGCTTCATGTTAATGCCGTTCGGAGCCCCGGATTTCTGAAGACCGGGGTGGCTGACACACTTCAGATTATGTTCAGATTTCAGATCATATCAGTCAACACAGGAAGAGAGCTTTCAGTCCTCCAGCAGCTGGGCAATGCGGACGTCACGCTCCTCGATTCGGCCATCCCAAAGCCGTGACTGAACCCCAGGATGTCCCCCTCTCTAATGTGCTACAACTCAAAAAAAAAAAGGCGGGAGAACCCCACACACAACATCACACAAACATCACACCGTAGCACAACTCCTTCAGCGTCTGCTCCTCCACGCGTGTCTTGGAGTGCTCCGCCTCTGCCTCGGCCTCAGAGGGTGCACTGCACTGGCTACAGTAGGCTAAACTGATTCCCGGCTTAAAACACAACAGAAAGCACAGAACAAAAGCATGCAACAACAGCACATGAATGCGCCTTCAAGCTGACGTAACCGGCTTGGATCTCGTCAAGCTGAGCCTACGGATACAAAGAAATCCATACCCTGGAGGTGTCCTTCCACGGCGCGCGGCCTGCACGGCATCACGCTGCCATTCGACCTGCCCATCACAACTGCCCACCACATCCCGTCCCAAGCGTTAAAGATGGAAGACTGACTCGCGTAAGTGACCACGTTGTTCTTGATTTATAGACAGCTTTGGTCTCGCAAAAATTAGGAAGAAAGTGTGTGTGCCAAACATCATGTAAATTTACATGCTGAGTATACTTTTCAAAAGATTGTATTTCTACATTGCAAATAGAAGTTCGCCACAAAACCCCCACAGCGAGCTTCAAAGGTTCCACGTTTAGGTTCAAAACGCGAGATACAGCGGGAACGGCGTGGGGATGCGAAACAGGGATGAAAACGAAACGGGGATGAAAACGATGGCGCAGGGATATCAGTCTACATATTATAACCTACTTAGGGACTCAGGGGGGCTGATAAGTACAGTTTTCACTGGGGGGTCATAAGTGCCCTGAACCTCCAAGTACTACAATTCAGCGAAAATTTTCCTGACTCCCTGCGCCGGCCCCCTGTCTTCCCGGTACTACATGGTACTACAACTCGCGTCAGCGAACATCCCT